CGGAGCGTGACTCTCATCTCTCCGAAAGGTAAGTGGAAGCTGTGAGTCTCCGGCTGCCACCTACATTTTAGACAAAGCAAGATTACATGTCAAAAAGGCAAGCGCATGAACAAATGGCCATGAATGGAGGAAATGATTGAAGATAATACCTGTCAACCAACGCAGTTATGGCCGCTGAGTTGAACTTGGGCAACCCACGATGAACCTGAAAAGAGATGACATTCAGGCCAGCTCTTTGCAGGAAAGGAGTGTACCTGTTGTCGTACTTCATGTCCAAGAACCTATTGTGGGTTCTAGGATGTAGGAGCGGAAGGTCTTGCATGGAATAAAACATAGTCTCCGGTTACTTCACGAACACATGTATGCTCACAAAAAATTGAACAAAACGTATAGATTATTATCTGCCCCTCCACTATGAGACGGCCTCGGTGGGTTTCCTCGTACGTCGGGTCGAGCAGGTGGAATTGTGCCATCCTACAAAAAAAGTTAATAGAATAGAAATTCAATATACAATGAAACATAAACTTAGAAATATACAAGTAATTGACACAATTACAAGCATAAATTGAGACATGCATAATTAATTAAATGAATATGATAAATATGACATAATGAAAACAACCAATAGTCGCACCTCACTAATCTGTCAATGGCAAGTGCGTGAATTGTTGCCCAGTCTACCACACTTGCCGCACTCGTACTACTCAGGGTCAGTAAGAAATGGGGTTCCTCTCCCACGCCTCATTCTTCTAGGTATCTGATCCATAACCATCCTGTGCCTCGTCCTCTTTCTTGATCCACGATTGTTCCAATGGTAAGTTGGATCCGCAATGTACTTTGTCCCATCATATAGAGGCCACTCTCCAGGGTCCTGGAAAGGCACGAAGCGGGGGTTCCATGTGTGCACAAGCGTGTCGACACTTAACTCATGAGGTATCCTGCTCTCGATATTATAGTTGTGATGCCTAGCTGCTGCCACCAAATGGGAACATAGAAAGTGGTACTGCCTTGGTTAACCACAAGTGCATGTGAAATCTTGGAGGATTACCACCTCGCCGTCGGACGTTGTACCGCCCCTATGCTCGACCTGATAAGTCCCTGTGGCATGGTCAAAGCATGTAACCTCATGTGTGCCAACCCTTTCATTTGCCTTCTCTAGATGTGCCTTTGGTTTCGGAGCCCATATCTCTCCATCACTCTGCAACTTCAATGCATGGGCGTGTCTATCGTTGAACCAGGCAATAAGCTTGTAGAAGGTGAATTGAACGATTGCATTCATGGGCATACCACGTATCCCCAATAGCAACTTATTGAATGACTCTGCCATGTTACTGCACTGAAACTCATACCTCCATCCACCGGTGTCGTGTGCTCTTGTCTATTTCTTCAAATCCCTCATCAAACCTGTGAGGCATTGTCTACCTTCTGCATTTGATGCGGTTCTGACCTGCTCCAATTTTTTCTGAAAATACTTGTCCTCAAGCTGTCGAGCAGCCTCCTAGAATAGATTAAAGTTATCCTTCACACCATCATTCCAGAATAGATTCTCGGCAAGGTGCCGAGTACACCAACGATGGTGCAAAGGTGCATACCCCTCTATCTGCTCTCGCACGACATTAATTATGCCCTGGTGCCTAACAGATATGACGCCAACCTCCCTGCTAGGCCCAACCATATGTATCCGGACTAGCCTTAAGAACCATCCCTAACCGTCATTGTTCTTCTTCTCAACCAAAGCAAATGCCAAAGAAATCAACTTATTGTTCGCGTCATAGGATATGTCTATAAAAAGTGTGCCCTGGTATTTGCCAATCAAGAAGGTACCATCAATGGAGAAGATGGGACGACAGTGCTTAAAGGCCTCGACACACTGAGGGAAGCACCAGAAAGCATGGAAGAATATCTACCTCCCATCCTTCCATGCATTTGGTTTTGGGATGTACTCATAATGCATGCCTGGATTCACCGCTTTGATTGCATTGAAAAGTACCAGAGCTGCTCATACCCATCCTCCCAGTCCCCATATATCATCTTCCACGCTCGTTGCTTAGCCCTCCAAGCTTTACCATAAGTTATCACATAACATCCATACAACGCCTCAACGGTCTTGATAATTGTCATAACCTTCATGTTTGGTTCTCTCTGCAATATTCCCATCAACCGCTTAGCAATGAGGGTAGATGTCAATTGCCGATGCTTCACTGTTAGCACATGGTCAGCACAATTGTGTGGCCTGACAACTTTTGTGATCTTCCACTTTCCGGTGACCATTTGCTTCCTTGCATAAACCCTCCATGGGCAGCGTTCCTTATCACACATAACTGTGTAACGGCGCTCCGCATATGAATGCAAGACCTTGTAAGGTCTCTTTCATTTCACTGCAAACACCTACAATCACCTCTTCAATATAGGGAGGTCCTTGAATACCCTCCCATTCTCAATTACCATGTTAAGGCCGGCCTCAGGAGCTTCTAGGAGCTCATCATCACGTCCTTCTGCACACGCCTGATCGGAATGAGCAAGATCACCAAACTAGTGAACTCTTGGATCACGGCGACCGAGAAAGATACGCCTCAGCATCTCAACATCACTCTCTATCAGCTCTCCAATAGGACGATCATCATCAGAATCAAGAGCCCTTGCCATCTTATATTGGAGCCACGGAATCCATCTCCATAGAGTACTTGTGCAGCAATAGTGGACACATCCGCATTGTCAGGAATGTCTACTGCAACATAAGTAGAAAAATAAGGAAAGAAGGAAAGATTGGATATAAGGAATGGGGTAAGCTCCCAATAACCACGCGGATAAGACACTTACTCGGATAATTCTGTGTCAAAGGGATCTCATGAGGAGTATCTGCCACAACATCATGAGTCTGACAAGCATTTCCAACTAGCATATTGGGGGCAGATTGAGCATCGGGAACCGTAGGTGCAACCTCCACATCCATATCAGGTTCCGAGATGGGAGAGTCGAAGTGTGCCTACTGACCCATTGGTGGGAAAAACCCATGAGAGATGGGATCAACTAACACCCGACGCACAACCACATCCAAACTTTAGAACTAGTACTTCATAGCCGATCTCACATAGTTCTCTCACTGGTCTGCACACCCAATTAGGATCATCTTCCTAAGGATGTTGGGAGGGGAACCTAGGTAAAGTACACCCTCCACTGCGATGCCATCACCATCATCAGCTCGATGGCAATGTAGCTCCTCTCGAGCCCTTGCAACCAACTCACTAAACGATGGCTTCTCATTGAATAACACAGGCACGCTTTGTATCTCAACAAACTCAACATATCCATAGCGATCGTTTTACACGGTGCCTCCATGATATATGTTCACTAGATTGTCCATCTAGTAGTTCAAACAAAAAATAAAATACAGTTTGTTTAGTCTAAAGTAGCTGTTATATAGTACCTCTCTAATAGATACTAACCAACTACACCATAAATAACTATGTCACTAGCTATCTAACTATATTTATCTCACTAACTAAATCAACTAGCTATCTAATAACTATATCTATGTACCTATGTCACTAGCTATCTAACTATAGTTATCTAACTATATCTATCTCACTAACTAAATCAACTACCTACATCATGTCATTTACTAGAAACTACCAAATAATCAAAGTAGCACTACAATTCAAGCTAACTAAGTACCTACATTGCATATTAAATTTTTTTACCTGTCCAAGTCAATGCAACGATGCGACGCGGACGTGGAGGACGGGATCGATGGCGAGGTCGCGCAGCGCGCTAGGAGCAGGGGCCGTGTCACGACCGGGGTCACTGGAGGGAGCGCCTATGCGTGCAGCGGACGCGGCGAGCCGGGATGGATGAGGCGGCGCGGGCCGGGAGGGGTGGCGCGAGCGGGATGGGGCCGCGGGCGGTCAGCACGGCGGGGGCAGGCGCGGGCGCGGTGGAAGGCATGGCCGCAGGAGAGGGCGCTACGCACGACGGCGGCGGTGGTTCGGGGAGCAGGAGAGAGGAAGAGAGAAAGGAAGGGAGGGCTCATATGTAAGAGGGGGCTTGGCGCCAATAACCACGGCGCTGAGCTCGGCGCCAAGATTTACGGCCAGGCTGCCTGCGTCAAATCACCGTCACGTCTGTGTCGAGCCCAAGACCTAGGCGCCAAAATCTATGACGCCGACGTGTAAGCAACGATGGCGCCGCGCTAAGGCTCCAAATTTTGAAATCATACCTCTAGGGGCATATTTGTAAAAAAATTCAAAAAAGGGCTAAAAACAAAAAAATCGAGAAAAAAACCCCACCAAATTGCATAGCCGGATCGAGGAAAGTGCAACCCAATTAACATTATTATATATATATATATACACACGCGCTATTCAATACCCTTGGTGTAGAATACTATTCTATACTGAACAAAATTCAGTGCTATTTAGTAGTCACGTTTCAGTATTATTCATTATTTTGAGGTACCGCAACTTAGGATTTTGTTCTGGTCAGTTTTGGCTTGAATATTATATATATATAGGGAGAGTATATTCAGTAGCCAGCTACAAAATAAGTTATTCTGTAGCCACCTCCATTTACGATAATTTTATATATTAATTTACGATAATATTAATACGTATTTACGATAGTTGGGTTGCTATAACATATGGGGATATTTACCGTAACGTCATAATAAACCACCTAGTAAGAGTTACTATAATCTCGTAAATTAACATAGTAATTATCGTAACTCAAAGTGGTTATAGAATAAATTATTTTGTTGCCAGCTGTTAGTTTTATATATATATATATATATATATATATATATATATATATATATATATATAGAGAGAGAGAGAGAGAGAGAGAGAGAGAGAGAGAGAGAGAGAGAGAGAGACGTGGTGTGCGACGACGCCACAATTGGGTGCCGAAAGGGTGGCCGGCCTTTCTTTCCCCACCGCCGCGCGCGGCAGATTCCAGCGAGGGCAAAAGCGCTGCGACGGAGACGGCGACGGCGATGGCGGAGAGGCTCAGGGAGCACGGGGGATTCCGGCAACGAATCCGACATCGACCTCAGGCCTGAGAGAACCTGCGACGACGACCCGTTCCCGCTCGGATAAAGCTCGGCCAGGAAGATCACCATCCTGCTTTTTCCCTTGCATTGCAATCCTGCCCTGACAACGATCGCCGATGCGACGACCGACATCTTTTCTTTCTGAAAAAAGCATATTATTGTCACTACCAGCGGAGCAGCCGAGCAGGTGCTCAGCTTCATCATCTCAGGTTTGTTACACGCATCAACCCTACTGGTGAACTGAAGCATCCGCTATGGATGCAACAAATTTGTAGTTGATACAGTCTACCAAAAAAAGAAGCAACCTGAGAACCACCTGTGTCTATGCATGCATGGACCATGATCGTTGAAAAGACCCTATAAAAAAAAGGGTGTATCCAGTGAAGAGAGCTCCCGCTCTATGCAGGGTCTAAGAAAGGTTGTTAGTGGCAAGCCTTACCCTCGGCTGTGTAATATGAGGAGATCGCGACTCAAACCCAGAACCTTCCGGTCACAGGCGGTAAGACTCTACCGCTTGCACCAGGACCACCCTTTTGAAAAAACCCTATGATGTTCTAAAATAAATGCCCAAAGAAACTGAGACATCAGAGATCACTGCTGGGCCAGAGTAGCATGACATCCAACAAAGACACGGCAACTGATAATCTGAATCGCGTCCATGACCACCCAACATGAACTAGAAGAAGAAAAGGAAGAGCTGGTTAATGCAAGAGACTGATGCTGCAACAATTACACAACTGAATATGACGATGGCGCAAACAGCAGCAACTCCACTGGCAGGTTAGCATGGGTGTAATCTTACAATAGCTAGAAAAGAATACACCAATACTAGCATGAAAAAAGTGACAATTCATTCAGCTAATGTCACTACAACTACTCCACAAACGAGTACTCCTAATAGACTCACATTGTACAGAGAGCTTCAAGACAGAAGCTGTTGGATCGCCGCCTTTTGGTCACCTGTTAGACTAGTGGGGAACTTGATCTGAAACTTGAACCTCAAGTTCCCCTTTCTAGACGGCTCCCTTGTGATCGGCATGCCTTCACCCTGCACAACTTCTTCATAAGTAGGACTGACAACTGACTTCACAGGAATAGTCAGGGTTCGTCCATCCAGAGTCGTCACTTGGACTGTGCAGCCCGTCAGTGCCTCTACTAGAGAGATCTTATGAGTGTAGATAAGGTCGTTCCCATCTCTCCTGAACCTGGGGTGCACCCGTTCTTCTATTATGAAAATCAGATCTGATGGTACAACATTACAAGCCTCGTTGCCTTTGTGAAGAAAGGTGATCTTTGTACCCTTCTTCCATCCAGGCTTGATATCTATCGTCAGGACCTCCTCACGATTTCTTGGTTTCCTTCACAAAAATATGAAATGTATTCTCAAAACAAGATAGGAAAATGATGAGATTGCCTATTCTGCACAACTAAAAAGCTTTGAACATTTAAAGTTTCAACCTACTCGAACCTAGCAACTTGATATGATAATTTAATGCTGAGTCTTATCCATCCAGCACAGTTTCACAACTAAACACTCATCAATCACATAAACAAGCATGTGCCAAACATGCGATGTTTCTAAATAGGGGCAAACAAACAAACTGCATCTATATCATAATGTCTTGAGCTGTATGTTTGACAAAGCACCACGTCATTGCAATCTTTAAAATTAGTTTTGAAGGCAATTTATCACAATCCATCCCTTTCTTGTATGGACCTACTTCAAAAAGTGGCTTTGCTCCATAATGATAACTATATTGCTCAAAGGCAAGCACATGATGGAAGTATGAAACTATACACCATGCTGTGCTGCTCCAAAGTCATTGAAAGCAACGTGTGTTTCAATATTAGATTAGAAGATGATATTATATTCAGCCTCAATCAATTACAGATATCCAGTTTTTAAGAAATAATATGTTCTCCATAGTTGTGTTTAATCAGAATCACAGGTCCCTCAATTTCCATGTGAAATATTTTACCATCATGTCATTAGAAAAAAGTAACATATCACATATCCGTAGTTCAACAAGTGCTCCCATCAGTATTCATGTGTTCAATACCTTGGAAGTAATAAACACAATAGAGTAAATCCACAAGAAACTGCACAGCAATAGATCTACCCTGAGTTCAAACATTAGTCACAGCTGTCTACCTCCAGTGATCTTTACTAAATCAGTAAAGAGTTAAATGCACCAGAGATCCATTAACTTGTGAGAAGGTTTCAGTTAGGTCCATCAACTTTCAAAGTGGCTTTTTGGGTCCATAAACTTAGTATGGTGTATCACTTAGATCCATAGCTGTCCACATTGGCTTCTCGTGTTGACATGGCATGATGCCGTGGCCATGCGGGCGTGTAGGCAGGTGCCGCTGCCCTGCCATACGGGCGCGAAAACAGGCCAGCCGCAGCCAGCAGCGTGCTGCAGCCGAAGCCGATGCCGTCACCGTGGTGTGCGCGAAAGGTGCAGGAGGCGAGCCGCCCGCTGCGCGAGCGTCGGCGAGGAGGTGCCGTAGCCGCCGCTGTGGGCGCTGGGCCAGCTGCTGTCGCGCCACACAGCGCATGAGCAGGTCGCCCTCCGCGGGCGCCCACCATTGATGTTGTCGTTCCCTCCCTGTCTTCGTCGTGCAGCGCGCGCGGCCGGGATGGAGCTCGGCCGGCGAGGATGGCTCTTGGCCTTCGCTAGAGAGGAGCTTCTCACGACGGCGAGGGGCACTCGAGGCCACCCGCAGCGGTCGAAGCTCGGGCCCATGACGGTGCCAGCGGCGGGGCGGAGCCCTTGCCCACGACAGCGGTCTGGGAGACGGAGGAAGCTGTTGGAATTGCGGCGGCGGCCGCCATGGAGGGAGGGGACGCGCGCCACGGAGGAAGCCACCAAGAGAGCTTCGCGCGATCGGGTGGATCTACTGAGTCAACGCTTCGCGCCTCCTACGCGCTTCGCCGGCGGTGGCGATTGTGGATCTCTCGAAGCAGTTGGGTGGTGTACAAGCGGCGTTGCTAGGCTCAGACGGAGATCGCTCGTTATTCTCGGACGAAGCTCGGCCGAAAGCCGGCGTTAGCCCCCCGCTGCCGACACCATCTTCCGGCACGCCTGCGTCGCGGTCTCCTCCGCGGCCGAGCTCTGCCGTGATCACAGAGGCCGCAGCGCCATCCGCGCGTCTCCCGGCAACCGGCCGCCCTCCGCTCCCGCTCCGCCGCCGCTCCTCTCCTGGCTGCCCGGCCAAGACTGGATCGAGATCGCGTCCACCTCCTCCTTGGTGCGGCTAGAGAGTGCGCGACCGGCGCCGAGGGCACCAGCACCACCGGCAGTTGCTTCGGTGCCGCCGGCTCTTGCGACCCCGACGACCGCTTCTTCTTCGGCTCCTCCCCGGCGCCGCGGCGGCGTCCTTGGCCGACGACCCCGGCCTCACGACGAACACCGCCGCCTTGTTCGCCGTCGCCTGGGGGCGCAGCCAAGCCTCGAGCACTCCGTACCTCGCCCGCGTGCACGCGTGGCCGCGGCGGGCTTGTTCGCACGCGCCCGCAGCGGCGGCGGCGGCACCTGCTCGCGTGCCCACAGGATGTTTGACGAAATGAAGCATCAATAGTTGCTTTAGAAGGGCAAGTCAGCAGGCCACGTCAGCACGAGAAGCCAATGTGGACAGCTATGGACCTAAGTGATACACCATACTAAGTTTATGGACCCAAAAAGCCACTTTGAAAGTTGATGGACCTAACTGAAACCTCCTCACAAGTTAATGGATCTCTGGTGCATTTAACTCATCAGTAAATCATCTGTGAAATGTACAAGCCCAGCTATCAAATTATGAATGCCTCTGAACGCTCTAATATCCTTGTACAGAGCGTGCATTTAGGATAAAAACTCAGCCTCTTAGCCCCTTAACTGAAGAAGCTACTATGTCTTACCCCACACATTTTGTCTTATGGCATCTATAATTTGAACCCTTCAAATTTGATTTTGAGTAGAATATGTAACAGAAGTTGTAAGCATGAGGTACAGACATAAAAACTTCCCATCGTTACAGTGTCACAAGTTAGATGGTCAAATACATGCATATGAAGTTGTCAAGAGATCCTACCAGCGATCTTTATGTGGCATTCCAGGAATAGCAAGCAGGCTAGGCAGCTGACTTTTGGAAGTGTTTGGGGTCACAACATGAAGGTATTTATTTATTTATTTCGTTGGTATTAAAAAAATAGACAAGACAATGAGAACAGCACAAACAAGGAAAAGCATCACTAAATGAAATCCTGTTAGCAATGTCCCAAAATGCAAACTCATGAGGATAAAATAAAAACAGGTCAGAAAAACATGATTAACTCAAGGGAATCACTTTGTTTAAAAAATAATCAAGCAAATCACTTTGTTCAACCAAAAAAAGAACTCAAGCAAATTGTAGTGCTTGGCCACCATGGGAAAAACATGATTAACTCAAGGGAATCACAGAGTTGACATAATGAGATGTCGAGCTGGACATAAATTGGATATCCCCATGTGAAACAAATTATGCAGTATGCACCATGCAATACATATACGCCATCCTAATATCATATCCGAAGGATATTGCCAACTCCAAATAAATCAAGAATGATGGCTAAGATTCAAAGCTAACAACAGAGTCAGCTTGGCCACCATGGGAAGCACAGCATAGAGTTATGGTTAAAGTGCGTAGACAAGGTCAGAATACCTTGTATATCGCCCAAAAGAATCAGAAAGTATCAAGGGGGCAACAACAGCTGAAACGTCGTGGACTGAAACACAGGAAGATTCGATTAACATTATTGAATAGAGAGTGCTGGAGAATTAAGACTGTTGCAGCCTTGGGCCAATAAGATAAATCAAACAAACAAGAAGCAAACCAAAGGCCATCTGTCTACCGAGTGAGTGTGGGTGTGCACTCAGCCAAGCCTGACTTGGTGCAGAAATCAGTTGCAAAGCATGTACCCACACTCTGTGAGACCTTAGATGCCTCTGATAAATTCGTATTGGGTTTAGGTGCACATGTACTTGGGTGCTAATGGTAGAGTGTTGTGTGCTTGCAGCCTTGCACGCATGTGTGTATGCCTCTTACTCAATTGCTGTCGACATAAGACAGATTAAACCACACTTGTATCGTCTTGCCTTATTCCTCTTTCGTTGTGTCTACCATCCCTCTCAAGTTTTTCTCTCCGGTCAACCTTACCTCTCATGCTGCTCAGTTTCCCTGCCCTAAAAATTCTAATGTGCAAGCACAATGTGCCAACCAAGGTCAGAAGATGCATAACAAAAGCCACGACCTAGCATAAAGTCTCTACTGATCCTACAACCACCCAGGGACTTGCTCAATCATCTAGGCTGAAACGATTCTTTACAAAAGAACAGAATGCTATAACCTGTGGTCAGTCTGTATTCTGCAGGAAACAAATTGGGCAAGGAATAGGCGGTCTCACCCGGCGGCGTCAAGGACATCCCTGGAGATCTTCATCTTCTTAGTGGCCCCTTTGTACAGTTCCTCCAAGGTGCAAGCCAGCGGCCGCTCGATCGGCGGCGCCTTCCTCTGCACCGGCGCGCTCGACGCCTCCCCTGGCCCAGCGGCGCCGCCGAACATCGGGAACCCGGGCGGAACGCCGCCGCCGGGGGTACGGGGGGCTGCTGCCCCAGCGAACCCGCCGCCGAATATCTCGGAGAAGATCTCCTCGGCGCTCCTCGTGTTGAAGCGGAACCCGTGGAGGCCGGCGCCGGCGCCGGGGCCGTGCGTGGAGGCGGAGGGCGGGGGCGCACCGGCCTTGAGGCCTTCCTCGCCGTACTGGTCGTAGATGGCGCGCTTCTGCGGGGCGCTGAGCACCTGCGAGAGGGGGAGCCAAGGCCAATCGAGAGGGAGGTCAAGCAGATGGGGTTTCCCCGGCGGTAATGGAGGATGAGGGGGAGGGATGGGTACGGACGTCGTAGGCCTCGGAGACCTGCTTGAAGAGGGTGTCGGCCTGCGGCGAGGGGTTCTTGTCGGGGTGGTACTTCATGGCGAGGCGGCGGTAGGCCTTCTTGAGCTCGTCGTCGGTGGCGCCGCGGCCGACGCCCAGCACCCTGTAGTAGTCCACCCCCATCGGGCGGCGACTGGTGTTGCCGGCGGCGGGCGGTGCAGTTTCTGCTGCTCCCGAGCTCCTGACGAGGTTTTGGATTTTGGTTGGTACAGGTAGTTGGCGAAAAAATTGTAAAAATGACACTACGAAAGATTAACTTAATTAGGATACTCGGATCGCAAGTGAATCCATCTGTGTGAATATGAGTCTAATGTTAAATATATAAACGATCGATGTTTCAAATCTCTTTTTGCAAATCGCCTGCCAGGTTGGTTTGCTTCAATGCTCTGCTATTTGATGTTTTCCTTTTTCCTTGGATATTTACCTCCTTGAGTTCAAAGGTCTTCGTATTATTTCTGGTGTCCTACTAGGTTACTATTACTCGTGTTTTCTGATTTTCTATTATTATAATATATTCTTAGACCTGGTTTGGATAGTCTCGTATTTAGCTCAATCCATTTAAGATGAAGTAGATTTTGGTGTAAATTAATTTAGGTTTCACCCTAAGTATCCAGACAAGGCTTTATAGATGTTCTACCACGTGTGTGTTTTCTGTCTAAAGCATATTCTTTTCTGTTTTAGAAAAAATGCACATCTCATTTTTTTGAAAAGTTAAATTCTTAAAGTCTAACCAAATATAATATATATACTAATATTTATAAGAAATCGAACTTTTAAAGTTTAACCATATATATAAAAAGTATACTAATATTTATAATACATAATAAGTATTTTTAATTTAATTGTGAAATATATTTTTGTAATAAATATATTAAGAGACACTTGATGATATTTCATATAAATTTAAACGAATAAAAATAACTTACTCTTCAAAAAGCAAGATGTACACTTGTTTTGAGCAAGAGGTACACTTATCTTCACCTCCAGGTATTTGCTTCAGTAATAAGTAAAAGAAATTTGATATACTCCCCCATTCACATAAACATGAGTGGGAGCGTGTCAAAAAGAACGCACTATAGGAATAACGGTAATGGTGGCACATGGGCGTCCATTCAAGCGTGTTCCATATGGATGCCTCGTTCGTAGGCCTGCCCAACAATCGGGTTTAACATGCCTCCTCCGCTCCACCTTCAGCACAACACGGTTTTCTCAAAAAGAAAAAAGAAAAAAACACAACGACATTTTCTTTCCCCTGCCGCACGCATGTGACCGCCGCGGGCATATCCACTGCGCTGCCCGCCCGCCGCTGGCCTTCTCCAACGCGGCAGCCTTCTTCGGCTGCGGCCTTCCCGTCCGGACGTCGCGCGCCCACTCCATCTCGCTGCTGTCGTGAGGCCATCCCGCGCTGCTCGCTCCCGCCCATCGCGCGCCCCGCCCGCCCGGCTGAGCTAAGCCTAGTGCTGCTAGCGATGGTGGTGCTCGCATGGCGCCTCTCGACCCCGATGGTTGGAATCGCCCGGCCTCGGGCTCCCCTATGTTGCAAGTGTTTCAGATGTTTCATAGGTATGTTTCAAGTATTTCATTCGGATGTTGCAAAAGTAGATTGGGATGTTGCATATGTTGCAATGATTATATACGTATGTTGCAAGTGTTTGTTGCCAATGTTTCATCTGCTTTTTTCAGACGTATGTTGCAAGTGTATTTATTTAGATGTTGCATATGTTTCACACATATGTTGCGAGTGTTTTATCTGGATGTTGCATATGTTTGCAATTGTTTTTCAAGTGTTTTTCATGTGTTTTTGCATGTGTTTCATATGCATATTTTGAATGTTTCAGTTGTTTTCGTACGTATGTTGCAATTATTTTATTTGGATGTTTCATAAATAGATAGGGGTGTTGTGCATGTTACAGTGTAAGCCACTTGCCACAGCTGCCTGCTGCAGCTGCTGAGTTGCCGTGTATGGAGGGGGCGGTGTAGCAGGCGTGGAGGGCGCATGGGAAGCAGAGAAGCGTAGGGGAGTGGTGCGGTGGGCCCCGCATGTGCGTGTAGCAGGCGCTAGTGATGCCGTAGGGACATAACCACTGACAAAAAAAATCAACTCCGTCCATTCCGGCTCCTCTCCATTTATCTTGTCTTTCTCTTCACTCTTTGCGTGTATGTGAAAAAAAGTATAAAAAAATGTAATTGCAGACTTGTACTGGTTGATAGAAATCTAAGGCCACATGTGTTCGCTTGATCGTTTCTGTAATTTATAAGCCAGCTGATGATGTTTTGTTGTGAGAGAAAAATATTGTATCATGACTGATAAGCATGGCTGATACGATCAAGCGACACAGGGTGGTTAACAATTTGTTTATCTTCACTAACTTGTTCTTGATGAGAATTTAGGTTTGTATTCTTTTCCAGACGGAGTATTAGCATGTTACGGTGTAGATAGCTTTTAATAAGCTTTAACTTGCGAAATAGTAGCGGCTCTTTTTTCACACGAAGCACAGGGCACAAAAGATACTGTGACTTGAATCTACAGAATATTTTTTTGAGGCTGCATACAATAGTTGACCAGAGACTTGGTCACGGTACCTGCATTACTCGATGGATGAACTCAAACGGCGTAGTTAGGCAAAGAATTTTATATATATTCAGACTGATTTCAAAAGTGACACGTGTGCCTTTAAAAGTAGCGGATTTCCTAGACGTCAGAGCATCTCAAGATTTTCCAAAAGAAGCTCCCAATCCAGGATTTTTTTGAGAGATTGAAAAAAAAACGTCTTGAACAGCTCTCAATCTCACCTCGCAATCCTTGGCACGAAAAAACTTCCGATTATGCGGAAAAATATGCGCACGCTCGCGACTTGGAAAACTCCTCGCGCCGGTCTTCCGCAGCAAATTTCTCCCTCGCGCTTGTCACCGCCGCCGGCACCGAGTAGCAGGCCTTCCGCCACGAGGCCGGCCCATCCTTGAGTCCTGTACCTGACCCGGACGTCAAACTTCGGCGCGCAGCTGTCGAGCTTCGACAAGAAAGCTGTGCACGCGGGCGCCTTGGACGGTCAGGACGGGCGGGTGGTTGGCAGCGGCCGGCTGGCCGCGGCGCATAGCGCGCTGGCCCGCGCGGGCACGACCCAAGGCACCACAGAGGGCGGCGACTGCCCTGCCTGCTCGGGAAATCGAGGGGCGCGGGGGCTCCGGCAGCCGGGCGGTGGGTTGCGCGGCGGCTCTGCCTTGCGAGCCCGCGGCCGGCAGTGGGTTGCCAAGATGGTCGGCGGCGTGTATAGCAGCGCGCGGCCGTGGGAGGCGCCGGAGGGGCGCTAGTCAGGCTGAGACGCATGACAAAAATTGTGTGTGTGTGACCAAATTTTAATATTTTGAAAGTCAATTAATGGAAACTCTTAGAGATGAGCTCATTTATTTCTTCCTAACACTTTTTTGGAAGTTGGAAAACAAATGAATTATTGGGAGAGATGCTCTTATTAGTCGCCTAATTAATATCCCGCTGTCTCTTAGAGATGAGCTCATTTATTTCTTCCAACACTTTTTTGGAAGTTGTAAAACAAATGAATTATTGGGAGAGATGCTCTTATTAGTCGCCTAATTAATATCCCGCTGTCATGGCTCATGGGCTACTTTTCTGGCTCGATTATCTGAATTGAGTGGAATTAGAAAGTAATTTAATAATAAGATGAGAAATACATTCTAGGCATTATTTTCAATTCATGCGATCTAAACAGGCTTTTGTGGGCTCCCTATACCTTTCCAGCCTAGGTTATTTTTTTTCTTTTTGGAAAAAAAATCACTTCTATCTTTATGGATTATCATCATGACCACATTTTTGTTTTCTCCAACCAGATTATCTTCTTAACTCTTAAAACCATTTAAATTCCAAATATCTTACCCTGTCAACTCTTAAAACCGTCTAAATTACCTCCCTAACCTGATTAGAAGTGGTTATCAAGATAATTTTTATATTTTTTATGTTAACATTATCGGGCACATATTTGATAAAGTTTTTAAACCCTAAAAATATCTCTAGGCTATAAAAATGTCAAAAGAAATCTTAGAGCTCATGGAAATTTATATATGAGCTTCCAAAAATTGGACTTAGCTCTATAAAAATAATAAAAAATTACAGAAAAAGGAAAAAACAAATCATTATAATTGATGTCTAAAGGCATTTAAAAACTTCTACAACAAAAAAACATGATTCGACCAACATTAATTATAAGTACACTAATTTTGAATGCATGCATGCTAGTTGTATCTCATGTTTTTGTTGTAGAATTTTTTAAAACATAAATTTAGATATTGATTAGAATGTTTGAGAAATTTATAGATTTTTTCTGGATATATTTTACTCACATTCCAAGAGCTAACTCTTCTTTTTAGAAGTGTTTAAACATATCTTCGGGGAGCTCTAAATAATTTATTTGGGTTTGCCATATCTCGATCTACCTCTAGGATTTTGACCAACATTTTTATAATCTTAATTAAAGATATATTTTATGGTTTAAAAACTTTTCAAGTATTCGATGGCATTTTTAAAACAAACAACGGATAAACCACTTGAAAACCAGAGTTGTAAGGGGTAATATAGAAATGGTTTTAAAAGTTGATGGGGGTAAAATATTCGATTTTAGAGTTTTCGAGAAGTAGAATTGAATGAGACATGAGCGAGTAAATGGATTTCTTTCCCTTTTGGTTCAAGTAACTGTGGTGTTCGAGTTTGCTGAGATGTGGAGAAATCTCAGAACGTTTCGGATGCCTGCGCCTGTTCTCTCTCGTGTCCTCTCGGGGACGAACTGAAATACCACCCAAGAAATCGACCCAACCCAATTCCCGAACCCCGAAACCCACAGAAATCCTTCTCCGAAACCATCTTCTCCCATCCCAATCAATCCACAAATCAGAACGATGTCCACTTCTGTTCCAGAATGGACGGAGTCGCAAAAAAATTAGAAAACCTCGTATACCGACTACAAATCTTGAAACACAGAATAGCCTTACTGAGATGCAAGCCAAATCGCATCCTAGAAGAAATCTACAAGAAGCCCCCTGATCCGGACCCTGCAGCTTCTACTGTGCTCACTAATGCCGTGGTTAACGATGCTCTTCATGAGCGGGAGGAATCTCTGGCCACGATGCCGAGGGAGTGGCTGGAGTTACAGGTAATTACAGAGTGTAATTCGGGGTATGAAGAAGCCAGTTACACGATCCAGGAAGGATCTATAAAAGGGGCAGAGTATGCTGCACAGGTTCATCCTTCTGTAGTTCACCAAGCAAATCTCCACCTCACCTTGCACCCAAGGTGTTTGCCTTTTTGTCCCATGGCGACCAACGAGAACCAAGGTGAGCTTTCAGGTGCTGCTGTCAAGCCCTCGCATCCGGGAGAATTCGAGGCAATACAAGCTGAAGGCTTCCAAGATGAGTGAGGGAAAGGAGCTGGCAGAATCAAGCAAGTGTGGAGAGAAGGCTGTTCTGGTTGTCAACATGACCGGGGCGCGTGAGACGCTTCGTCCTCGCTTCCTAGGCGTTGGGTTGATCCTTTCTGTGTTGCTTGTAAACTCAAGGCAGTTGATGGATCATATGAAGAGGGTTTGGAAAATTAGGGGAGAGTTAGAAGCTAGCCCAATTGAGTGTGAGACGGGTAGAAAGTTCATACTTGAGTTTAATGAGGAGGGCGATCGGAGGCATGCCATCCTCAGTGGTTCGTGGCAGTATAAAGGGGATGCATTCTTGGTGGAGGGCCTTGCAACTGGTGCCGATCCCTCGTTGGCGCTGTTCACACATGGGCCGATGTGGGTTTAGTTCAGAATATCCCTTTCTATCTCCTCACTAAGAAACTCGCACATGATTTGGGTGAATGCATCGGAACTACAATGAAGATCGACCAAAATGCATGGGGCAACATCGATGAAAAATTCTTAAGAACCAGAGTCCAACTCCCACTGTACAAGGCCTTGCAAAAAGAAATCAGGCTGGTTGATGAAATTACTGATAAAGAAGTGGTTGTCCAAATCAAGTATGAAAGGTTACCTAATTTCTGCCTATTCTGTGGATTCATAGGACATGGAGGCGAGATGTGATACGCCACTGCAGGGGAGGAAAATCAATTTTAGTTTGGACCTTCGTGTCCGGCCAGTTCACTTTGAAGATCCTAGGAGCTGGTTTCTGCCAAGTAGGGTGGTATGGCTCAGCAGCACCACTCGACTCAGTTATGGCGTGCTCCTTTTCCAGTAGACCAGGGTCAATGTAAAACCAACTCTGTAATTGGGGCTGTTGAGTTAGTTCAGGAGAAAGTAGCAAATTTATCTGTAATAGAAAAAAACTCTGTAACCATAGGCAATGATGGTATTGTGGGAGGTAGGAGTGCAGATGAGGAAAAGGGAACTGTCCAAGATTCTGAGCAGGTGCTGGCTGCCGCAAAGTCAATTGAAGACACTTCCAATGTTAATAAGAAGAAGACATGGAAGCGCAAGGAACGTGTGGATCTGAATGAACAGAGTAACAGCAACAGTCTAGTACCACCACCAGGTTATGGGACTGTGAGAGCTTATGAGGAAATTCAAGATGAGGACATGGCTTTTGAACCTGCTGCAAAAAGGAGCACTTTCCAAGCAAGTACTAAAACTGAGTGCCATAGTAAGGCTGTCTCCAACAGGAGACCTGTAAGGAGACCCAAACTCAAAATGGGTCTCCAACACAATACACATAGCCTCCAACAGAGTACCTATATAGAAGACCCATTTTAAGTGCCAAGGGAGGTATAACCCAAATCTGAGTATTCTCTCTCCTGTAGACCCATTTGCAGAAAGAGTTCTCTTTTGGATCTTGTTGTTGGAGAAGACTAAAAATAGGTATTGAACCCTTTAACTGTAGCGCTACCCAAACGTGAAATGGGTGTTGTGTTTTGGGTATCGATTGTTGGAGACAGTCTAAGGAAGTTGTTGGGGGAAAAGAGGAAGAGGATCGAACTGTAACAGTGACGGGAGACAGTACAAAAAACAGTGGAAAGGGTGTAATGGGAGGAATGGATGATGAGGCAGCGACCGGTCTTGGGGCTACCGGCAATCTGTCGGGCGCAAATGACAGCGCCCGGCAGGAGCCATGAGTCCTTCATTTTTGAACTGGCGCGACTGGGGACGATCGTGGCCAGTTCAGCTTCTTGCCCAACTTGGTTGGGCACTGAGTCCCGTCCTGGAACAGCTCTCTAAAATCAAGCAAAATAAGAATGTTATGACTAGTGTGTGTGTTTTTGGGAAAGGGTCCTGCTCCCTGCAAGTATGCTCTGTGGGTTCTCGCTCTTTTTTATCCCAACCACCACCACCTTGATGTAACACAGTGTTTTTTCTATGGAATAAAAGAGAGTTGTGCTTTTGTCTACTTTGAGACGTCTTCTTCCATGCTTTGTGCCTATGCAGCTTGTCTGGACAAATCTTTTGAGCTTATCAGATTTTTTCTGGGAAAGGAGTTGCCGAATGAGGTGGATGGCAGTATGTTGTGGGCAGTCTGGTCTGCTTCTGGGAACCGAAAGGTTTTATTCCAGGTGGAAGGTCCAGGTGATGTCCCTTTTTATGTCGCGGGGCTGTCCGGACAGCCCTACGGGATCCAATGAAAATAATTGCTTGGAACTGTTGGGGGTTGGGGAATGGCCCGGCAATTCGTGGCCTTCTGAATCTTCAGAAGGAGGAGGACCCTGATATTCTGTTTTTATCTGAAATGAAATTAGATCAAAGAAGAATTGAAGGTTTAAGATGGAGACTTAGTATGACAAATATGGTTGTTCAAGATTGCAAAGGGAAGAGTGGTGGTTTGGCAGTATTCTGGAAGAAGGAAATTAATTTTCACCTGCGTGATGCTTCGCGCTTTTATATTGATGGTGATGTGACAGAACCTGATGGCTTTGTTTAGAGATTCACTGGCTTTTAAAGGGAGCCTCGTACAGACCAGAAAGAACTTTCATGGAAAGCACTTTGAACTTTGAATGCAGCAAGGAAGTTTCCTTGGATCTGTGCAGGTGATTTCAATGAAATTTTATTCAGTCATGAAAAGGAGGGGGGTCAAGCTCGTGGCCAAATTTGCATGGACAGGTTTAGGGATGTGTTAGAGGAATGCTCTCTATCTGATCTAGGCTTCAGTGGGGACCCTTTCACGTGGAGAAATAATAGTCATAACAGTGATCAGTATATCCGAGAGAGGCTAGACAGAGCTGTTGCTGACACTGCATGAAGAGTCCGATTTCCAAATGTCCGGGTTATTAATGGTGAGCCGCGTCATTCAGATCACAGGCCTGTGATAGTTGTAATGGAGGAGGAGCCAAGACGGGGCAGCAGTCCGAGTGCAACAGCCTTTCGATTTGAAGCAGGATGGATACAGGAGGAACAATGTTCAACTATTGTTGAGAATGCCTGGAACCTTTCAACTCAGGTTAGAACTGGTAACGTGAGAGATGCTCTTAGTAATCAACAGATTTATGGGACTGGAGCAAGTACAGCCTGGGGGATTTGGAGAAACGGATTAAAAGGGCTCGTCGAGATCTAGAAGCATGCAGAAAAGGGATGCTTAATGGACAAAATATTTCACGAGAGGCAATTCTCAGATATAAATTAGAGAAGCTGGAAGACCAAAAGGAATTGTATTGGCGCCAAAAGGCGCATGTTCACTGGCTTCAGGAAGGAGACCGAAATACAAAATTTTTCCATCAGTATGCATCTGATAGGAAAAGGATGAATAGAATAAAAAAGCTGGTGAAGGATGACGGAGGTGTGGTTGAGGAATCAACAGGGCTCAAATTATTGATTACTAATTTTTATAAATCCCTTTTTGAGTCACATGCAGGTGCTCGTTTTGAAGAATTGCTAAATCAGGTGCATCAGAGGGTTACGACTGATATGAACAACTACTTAATGGAAGAATATGGGGATGAGGAGATAAAACAAGCTCTTGATAGTATTGGGGATCTAACGGCTCCAGGGGTGGATGGTATGCCAGCCCTCTTTTACAAGCAGTACTGGAATATTGTTGGGGAGGATGTAGTCAGAGAAGTGAAGAATCTGCTAAATGGGGGCACAGTGCCGGAAGGTTGGAATGAAACAATCATTGTGTTGATCCCAAAAGTGCAAAACCCAGAAAGGTTAACAGACCTTGGACCGATCAGCCTCTGTACTGTTGTGTACAAAATTGCCTCCAAAGTTCTGTCAAACCGGTTGAAGGTCATCTTACCTGAGATTATTTCTTTGAATCAAAGTGCTTTTGTGCCTGGGCACCTTATTACAGATAATGTCCTCCTGGCTTATGAAATGACACATTTTATGAAGACAAAGAAGAGGGGACCAGATGGTTATGCAGCTGTCAAATTAGATATGAGCAAAGCATATGATCGTGTTGAATGGTTCTTCTTAGAGAAGATGTTACTTAAGCTGGGCTTTCACACAGGCTGGGTTCAGATTATTATGAATTGTGTTTCAACCGTCACCTATCGCATCAAGGTTAACGGTGAGCTAACAGAGGAGATTTCTCCCCAACGTGGACTCAGGCAAGGTGATCCCATTTCTCCCTACCTTTTCCTGCTATGTGCTGAGGCGTTTTCCTGCCTGTTACATGAAGCCGAAGTTAGAGGGGAGTTGACTGGGGTTAAAGTGTGTCATAATGCACCGAGTATAAATGTTATGGCAGGTGGAGCCGGCCAGGGGCCCACGCGGCACTGTGTGTGTGAACAGTACCAGGTCAGATTAGATTAGATTGGTTTGGTTTGTTAGGAAAGAGATAAATTAGATTGATTCGGTTAGGATATTACTTAGGGGTCAAGTAAGTTGTCTCTATAAAAGGGATCATCATGTATCAGTTAGAGTCAAGCAAGAAGCAACAATTAAGTTGCTGGCTTCCCCTAGGAGCCAGCCGTCCCTGCCCTCTCTCCCTCGCGTGAACAGTACCCATGCGGGTACTGTAGCCCTCCCTCAGCTCTCTCCCTCTCAATCCTAGCTGGTAGGGCATCAAGTCCTAACAATAAATCATTTTTTGTTTGCTGATGATTCTCTGCTACTCCTGAAAACTGATGAATGGAGTGCATATCATCTACAAAATGTTCTTTCATTGTACGAGGATTGCTCGGGGCAAACTATCAATAAAGATAAATCTTCAGTCATGTTCAGTTTGAATACCAAAAGTGTAGAGAGAAACCATTTCATTCCTGTCTTGGGCATTACATCAGAAGCACGAAATGAGAAGTATTTGGGACTTCCAGTTTATATGGGGCGATAAAAAAGAACTTTTGAATATTTGAAGGAAAGAGTTTGGAAAAGAATACAAGGGTGGAAAGAGAAGCTCTTATCGAAGGCTGGCAAGGGTGTTCTTATTAAGGCTGTTCCTCAAGCTATTCCAAGTTATGCATTGTCATGTATTGATATGACGAAATCTTTGTGTGATGAAATTAGTAGTATGATAAGTAGATTCTGTGTAACACCCTAGTGTTAAGTATGCATTTGGCACTTGCATTTCATGAGCACAAGCATCATCCAAGCATTCATGAGCATGAGCATGTGAAGTTTCATTTCATTCACATTCTCTTTATCACATGTGATGTTGCTTATATACTTACATATGCTTGTGATCATGTGTGACCAATGCAAGAGATGGTTGTGAGGTCACAAAAACACCTTAGACACATCTAGGATGGAAAATGGAACAATGTTTGTATTCATGACCTAGCTCAAATTTGCTTCTAATTGTTGGTTTACATTGAAATGCCTTTTTCATTATGCTAGTTTGACTAAAGTTGAACAGTGGCTTATAGAGCTTGCATGGCTGTATGACCTAAATAAAAGTTGTAGTTCATGTCATGTGGAACAAACTTTGTTTAAGGGTCATGAGCTGAATCAGTGCTTAAGTGGGTCAAATAGAGCTCCTAAGTTTCAATCTGGATGCTATTTTGTAACCTAGAAAATTTTCTAAGTCTAAACCTGATTTTAGTTTCCATGTGCCCTACTTTGGAGCTCTGTAGTTTGAAAACCATTGTGAATTAGACAAAACTCTTTTAAGCAAAGTTGTAGATCTCTTATAGCTCTACAATTTCTATTAATGAACTTTTTGCTAACTCGAACTGGATTAGGAGTTGTAGAGGTGCAAAGTGGCATTGTCAGTCGGCCTGACAGCCAATTTGAATCGGCCAGCCGAGCGCGTCGTGGCTGACCGCTGCTAGGCCGCGCGTGCCGCATGGCGGCCGCTTACCGGCATCGGCCTGGCCGGTCCGGCCAGTAGAGGGAGTAAAGGGAGGCGCAACTGCTGCTCTCTCCCATTCCCACTCTTTCACCCTGCCTCTCTCGCTCTTGCCCTCGCCATCGTCGAACCGTGCAGCTGTCGCCACCTCCGCACCGTCGCCGTGCTCGCGCGCCATTCTCACCGCACCACCAGCCAATCCATCTCACCCACTGCTGCGCCGTCATCTCTACCTCCCCGACCCGCCAGTGCCACCATCCGATCCAAGGTAAAGCCGCATTGCGCGTTGCCGTCGTCGCCATGGCCGCGGTGCGCCGCCGAGCTCAAGCTCGCCGTGGCCAGCCCTATCAGCTGCTCCTCCTACCTTCGTCTCCCTTGGTCCGTCATCACCTTAGGTCATAGATGCTCATGTTGTCATTTTTTTAACCGCTACCATTGCCACCGCACGGGAACGCGCCACCGAACCGAGTGCGCCCGCCATGGCCGCGAGCTCAAGCTCGCCACGGCCGGCACCGACTAGGTCCCGTCGTCCCCCTCTAGCGCATGTTTCCGCATCTCCATTAACCCTAGCACCATCATCGAAGATGGAGATCCGTCATGGACCGCCGTCTCGTCGGAACGGTGAGCCCGCCGCCGTGCACGATGCGCCGTCGTGCCACCATGCTCGGGGCCGGAGTTCACCGCCACTCCGCCGTGGCCGTGACCCAACCCTACATCTCCACTAGGACCTCCTGATGCTGTAGCCGCGCTCGCCTGGCCATGCCATCGCTAGAGACGGCGAGTCCGCCATCGCATGCCACCGTCGAGCCGCCATGCTCGCCGACGATGTCGCTCCAGTGATCCGCCGAGCCAACCTAGGGTACCAGTAGGTGCACAGGAATGTGGAGAACACAACGCCGGTGATCTCGCTGTCGGTGACCTCGCCATCGACAAGCAGTGGCCGGTCAACCGTCGTGCTCTGTTTTGTGTGTCTATCAAGTGGGGCCGGGTTGACTGTGGGGCCCTACTGTCAGTCGCAGTGGGTGTATGAACCGGATGCATGTAGCGTTTAATAGGGTTTTGGTGTTTTAGTTTTATTTGTTTTTCAGATTTGAATGTAATCTTGCAAAAATCATATCTTGAGCTATGAGTATCCAAATGGAGTGAACCAAATTTTGTTAGCTTCATCTTGAAATGTACTATCCAATAAAAATATGAAACTTCCTGTTTGGAGTAGTTTTCTATGTGAATTAAATTAAGTTGGTTAAGTGCTTTTAAAATGGCCTTTATCTTGTAAAATGCATAACTAAAGTTAGAGAGGTGCTAAAAATGTGATTCTAATTTTGTTGGTCATGTGTTGACATGATGTAGCTAGAAAAAATATTGAACCTATAGTAAGCATGCTTGGAATATGATCTTGCTATTTAAATTTGATTAAATGCTAGTTTTTGTTGAAATTAATTAGGGTAAATATATGTAACCTATGAGCATGAAATTATTTACACAGTGTGTTTGTGTTATGGTGAAAGTAAGAAAAATATGAAATATGTTGTTTGACACTTTTAACTAGGCTAAACCATTTATGCTACTATAAGCCTATGCAACTTGCTATTTTTGTAGAGGTTGATATATTTACTCAAATGGCATGAAAATTTTACAGTAGACTATTGGACGCATGTGTAGGATGCTGTAATTTTCTTAGAATTTACTGTACACTAGAAATATTTATCCTCTACTTCATCTCGCTATCTAAGGAAATTAATAAATGCACGTAAACAATTTATTTGAGCTTAACCATGATGTTTTCTAGGGTGCTTATGATGCATAT